AAAATAACTTAAATGATTTTTGCAAATGGCTGCAATATAACAAAGAGTGAAAAATTTAAGGGGGTCTGAATACTTTCCGTACCCACTGTATTTGAGATTTGTTTGTGTCACTCAGGAAATATACAGAAATTCTGTAATGATCTGTCTATATAAGTCTAGGGGTAAACAATTAATAAAAAATAAAATAATCACAATATGGTTTAGTGCAGTTATCAAATCGCAAAAAGCTAATTAAATATGCACAGACATTAGGGATGTCAACGATTAATCGCTGATCGATTAATTGTCAATAAGAGATGCAATCATTAAAATCGATCGTGGTCGATTAAGCCGTTTAATTTTGGGCTGCATGCGGCTCATGCGCAAAACACGTGCGAGCGGCTGCGAGTGACTGTGACGGTATATAAATGCATCATCATTCATTCATAATGTACAAATTAAGCTTTTAATGTGATTTAAACTTTAAAGGTACATTAAAATAGAAACAACACAAAGTTATTCAACATGGAAAGCAATAGAAATGTTGTATCTAATTTCCCCAGATAATTGTTTCATATCATGCGCTTTGCAAGGCTGCGGTAGGACAGATAGGCTATAGGCTATTCATTTCTACAACTTGTTAATTCGTTCCTATGCCTTGTTAATTTGTGGCCACTGTCCATGTTTCATTAATTTTGTTCCTTAAATTACCCATGATTTAACTAAAATAAGGGAACAAATTAATAAATCGAATAAATTCTTAATTCATTGCCATGAAATCTTTAATTTCACTTCCCGCATATTTACCACAGTAAGAGATGCGAAAACGGTGATAAAAAGTGAATGACAATCAAATAAACCTGCGAAATTAGAGGGTTAGGCGGTGAGGATTTAGGAAAAGAAACATTGCCTACATATTATTGAATTTGTAGAAATTCGTGACCAACCAGCAAAAGCAGAACAAAGCCATGTAAATGGGTTCGAACGACATCCAAAAGCATGGTCACGACAGATTTAAAACAGAAGTGTGGCGCGGCGCTCCATAAACAAGCTCACGGAAAGGACAGGATGACAAAGCGCATTCTGTTTGTTTGCTTTATTTTACAAAAGCACAAATCTTTTGTTTTTATTGTGAGTGTGCAAAAATAAAATCGCGCCGGCGCCTATAGCGCGCACACCCCACATATTCTAGCAATTCATATTTACATCGCAGTCTGTTCATTATCAAAATAAAATAGTCAACCAAACAAATAAAAAGTTACACTGGTCAGTTTAAATGGACCGTAGTATACCGGTTCACTCTGCTGTTAAGGACGTTTCTGCTCATGTGAAGAGGATGATCTTTTCCGTCTATATGCGAAAGCGTGTAAAGTACAAGTCTAGTTTACATTATAAATAATAGTTTAACATTCAAATACATTGAGAATATGGAAACATTTGGATTTGTGCCGAATGAGACGTGAGCAATAACCTCCAAATCTAGCCAAACCCGCGCTCGCTCCATCTCGTATGCACGCACTGTGTTGCAGGAGAAAGGAAAAAGGAGTTGCCGCTTTAAGACGGCTATGTACGGGAGTTGTAGTCCAGAGTGAGATGCATTATGTGTAATGTAGTTCAGTATGAAATGTACTGGAGAGACGTGCCCTCACTGTGTGCTGTGCAGTTGAGAAAGGAGGGAGAAAGTTTGTATTCAAACTCAGAAGACTACAGAGGGTAGTCCGGACTGCTGAGCGAATCATTGGTACAACCCTCCCTTCTCTCCAAGAACTGTACTTATCCAGAGTGAGCAAAAGGGCTGGCAGAATCACTCTGGACCCCTCATATCCAGCACACTCCCTCTTTGAACTGTTGCCATCTGGTCGACGCTACAGAGCACTGAGCACCAGAACGACCAGACACAGGAACAGTTTCTTCCCTCAGGCAATCCATCTCATGAACACTTAACAATAACTGTGGAACACACACTATTTATACAGTCATACACTTATTTATCTAACAGTACCCGTACATACAAAACTGTCAATTGTAATATACCTGCACATACATTTGTCCTGAGCACCAGAACGACCAGACACAGGAACAGTTTCTTCCCTCAGGCAATCCATCTCATGAACACTTAACAATAACTGTGGAACACACACTATTTATACACTCATACACTTATTTATCTAACAGTACCCGTACATACAAAACTGTCAATTGTAATATACCTGCACATACATTTGTCGATTTATATATTTTTATTCCTTATTTACTTGTTCTATTTTTTATTATCTGTGTTTTTTGTTCTGTCACTGTCATTCTGTTACACTGTGGAAGCTTCTGTCACGAAAACAAATTCTTCATATGTGTAAAAGCTCATTCTTCTTCTTCTTCTTCTTCTTGTTCGGCGAGCAGATTCAATACTTTAATCCAAAGAACAAGCCCAGGGTGCACGTGGTCCACATAGCACGCACAGCTGTCCTTGAGGCGGGACGTGAATACATCATTCCAGGCAATGCACATTTTCGGGAGGAAGTACAGGGCAGTGTGCTGCTGAGTCCGACTAAAGGCTTAATGGAGAAGCATCAGGTGATGGTGGCACGGATTATAATTGGTGCCCAGTCAAGTAATCGAGTTCCCGTTAGACTGTATAACTCAGGTACTGTCAATGTGAAGGTAAGGAAGCGTGTAATTGCCGGAATCCTCCAGCCTGCTGATGTGGTTCAGGCCTCCACTGCAGCGCTGCCCCCAGCGGATTCATGTCCCGCAGTTGTCCCAAGTCACTTACAGTCGCTGTATGCAGAGAGTACAAGGGATCTGAGGGAGGCAGAACAGCGTGAGCTTGCGGAGCTGCTTCGTGCTTACGGTGATGTTTTCTCCACTGGACCGACAGACCTCGGCCACACAAACCTTCTTCAACATGACATTCAAACCCAGCCTGGCCCACCTGTGAAGCAGCAACCGCGTAGAATGGCATTTGAGAAACAGCAAAGTGCCGATGAACAGATCCAGCAGAATCTTGATGCTGGCTTAGCCTCCCCAAGTAATAGCTGCTGGGCTTCACCAATCGTAATGGTGCAAAAGAAAGACCAAACATACCGCCTGTGTGTAGACTACTGGGCACTAAATGAGCGCGCCATAAAAGACGCCTACCCACTTCCAAGAATCCAAGACACACTAGACATGCTGTCCACAGCAAAGTGGTTTAGCACATTGGACCTTGCCTCCTGGTACTGGCAAGTCAGTACTTGCTGGGCAGATCCTTCACTGTACGCACAGACCATAGTAGCCTACAGTGGCTAATAAGAATGAGAGAACTGGAGGGACAGTTGGCCAGGTGGCTTGAGAAGCTTGGAGAGTATGACTTCAAAGTTGTTCATCACCCTGGGCGCTGTCATGAAAATGCTGATGTGCTTTCCCGGAGGCCATGCCGTTCAACTTGCCCCTGCAACCTTAAGAATCCCATCTTGATTAGCCCTCAGCTCTGTCACCAGGCAGTCCAGTGTGACTTTGATGGCAAACCTGTAAGTAACGTACCTGCAGCTGTTACCACGGAGTCTTGTCAAGTGGGGGTAGTACAACCTGCCATCACTGCCAGTACTTCTTCATTCTCTGGGTGGACTACTGAAGAACTGCGTGCTGCCCAAGCAGCTGATACTGATATCGCTCCCATCAAGAGGTGGATGAAGGAAAGCATGGAATGACCCTCCTGGGAAGATGTGTCACCCTATGGGCCGGCAACATAAGTCTACTAGAGTCAGTGGCAAAGACTGTACCTAAAGGATGGCATTCTGTTACGATGTTACTACCTGAATGAGGGCCCTGAGTTTTACCCCCAGATTATCCTGCTGCGAGTTTTCCGGAAAGATGTCATGCACCAGATGCACGAGGGGCTAGTGGGTGGACAGCTGGGTGTTTAAAGACTCAGAAGTTTGGCAACCTCAGGAAGTTCCTGCCCCAGACCTGGGAGTCGATGGAGCTGAACTTGACTTGGATCTGTCTTGTCTCTTCACGGAGGAAACCAGGAATTCCGGTGGCCCAGACAGCATGTCTCTCATGGATGACACCAGTGTGCCGATGACTGAGCAGGACACAGAGGATGTTCAGTGGAGAGAAGGTAGCACTATGCAACAGGATTTAACAGGGACTGTTAACGACCAAATGAGGCAGGAGTCAGGAGATCACCGAGGAGGTTTGGGGACTGGACTAATTGATTATTAAAGACTTAAGGGGAAAAAAAGAGAAAGAAAGAATATTTTGTTGGCAATTTGTTATTCTTATACAATTGTTCAAAAAAATAATAATTGATGCATGTCATCTGTGGAAAATATTATTTAATGTGTTCCCTTTTTCCCTTTTTGTTGGATTTTGTTGTTTACCATTTTGCTGTTAAGGAAACAAGCCAAGTGTATGTTTAATTAAGCCCGAGTTGCCGAGTTGTTATGCAACGGCTGTTGTTCTCCTCTTTTCTTTCTGCAGGCCAGTAGTGGAGAAGTCAGTCGGTCACTCAGCTGGCCTTAACTAACTACCTCACTAGTCATGTTGGGACTGAATTACTATTGCTTCAACGAAGGCCCCCCCTTTACAAAGCTACTCTTTAACCCCTCCCGGCACCGTGCTATCCTTTCACCTTATGGACTGTTTACCCGTCACGTGGGGTTGGAATATATTGGCCAGTGCCTCCATTAAGCGCAGTTGCTTGAATGGACTGTGTGCTTTGACAATGGAGCTGCCTACGGACTGTTGATAAACAAATTTAAAAAAAGAAGGGATAAACGAACATAAAAAATTTAATATGGGTAGACATTGTGTTGAATGTACTTTTGCCTTCTATTAACACTGTGAATCTATGGTAATATACTTGTTAATGTGTGTGATGTATTTTGTATCAGTCATGCCATGGTGCTGGAGTGGTGTTAAGTTTAATCACCATCCAGAGTGGGGGTAGTGTTGCGGGAGAGAGGAAAAAGGAGTTGCCGCTTTAAGACAGCTATGTACGGGAGTTGTAGCATTTTACTCAGACTAAAACCCCTTTATTTCGGACGAGAAAGCGTTTTTTGTGTGTGTGAGAGTGGCTTTTGCACATCCTGTCATGCCTTTGACTGCGTGCCGCTGCAATAAGGTTAACGATTAATCGATCGTTAATTTAAACAACGATCGATCATGGAAATGATCGAAAATTGACATCCCTAACAGACATATTGATAAAGTGAGTTTGGAAATGCAACATTCTCCACCCATTTCACCATATTTATAATTTTACATTATAATAGTGTTATTGCAATCACAATGTATTTCTTTCATGATTTTATAATTGATAATAATTAATTTATTAATAATTTATTGTAATTAGATTTTTGGCCAAATTGTGCAGCCTTACAAACAGGCAAAGCAAATCTGGCTCTCTTAAAAAACACATTCAAGATCAAAATCTCAACACAGAGAGAGAGAGAAAAATACTATAATTTGCCATTATGTTCCCAAATATCTCAGAAAATCTTCTCTCAAACCTGATCAGATCATCAGTCAATATGAACCTGATCCTGCAGAGACATTCAAGTGTCATGAAAAACAACAAAAGGTCAAAAAAGAAAGAAACAAACCTGGAGGAATGAAATCTTCATC